GGAAAAAGCAATCGGAAGTCTGAAGAGCAATTGTTCTTGCAGCGTGGCCAGGTCACCAACATGACTTGCGCAGACCTTTCGCAGGACCTTCGCGAACCTTTCGCGACTGCAGTGAGAGCACACTCGAAATCAGCCTTTGAAATTCGATTACTAACAAGGAAGAGGTGGGTTTTCGAACGACGCTCATATATTGTCTTGATGCTGAGCCGAAAAAGGCAAGGTATATATCATCTATCTCACTGAACACTTATTGTCATTTCAGTCTAGACAGAACATTATCGTCAGCCGAAGCGTCAGCCCAAATACCAAGCAACTGATAGTAACCTCTTCACCAGTCGGGATGTCCCACTTTGCCCAAATGTCCAAATCTCCAGCTGCATCCATCTCATAATTCCTGTGATGGAATCTGGATCTACAGCAAACTATCTGCACCCTCACATTTGAAAATTTCAGTACCCAGCGCAACACCAAAGAAATTCGGTGGTCAATCAGGGCTAGCCTGGCCAAGGGGCAAATCCGATGCCAACTCAGGAGCGTGATTGAGGAATTCCTTGCTAAAGCTGCACACAGGTGTGATTCAGCAGCCAAACCAGAACAATAGCCAGAATCGGGACGAGGACTCTTTTTAGTGACTTAGCTGCTCCATGTAATTAGTGGCTTGCTTAAAAATGCTGTGTATTAATTCTCACCGTTCATTTAATTTCTGCGGGATCTTACTTACAAGTTCAAACATTCATGCATGGTCATGCCAAGTTTGGTCAGAAAACAAAAGCACCATGCTAGTTGTTCTAGGTTAGCCAAGGCTGTCCCAAACGCCCCAATCAGAAATGTCAAAAGCACCACGTAACAACTAACAACTTACTAAATCCTTTACAAGCTGCAAAAATAGGAATGATGTGCGGTTTACCCTCAGGCCCTTTGGCGGCATGCGAAAGAATAAATTGGTTCACCGCCTCTCAGGCTTCCGGTGATTCCATCGCTGTCACACCGGTGGCCAGGAGCCCCTAGTAGCGTCCTTGCTCCTACCCCCCGTAGTCATGCTGCAACACCCTTGTCTTCAACTTCTTATCATTTTTGTCAGTGAACGTTTTGGGTATGCAAAACTGTTTGTCCTTTTCCACCGGCAATGCTTTGAGACCGCCTTTGCCTTTACCTCCAGCGTGAAAAGGACAAATACTTTGCAACTAGCAGGACGAGGCAATCTTCGTAGTATAGAGCAAACGCCAAAGGTCGCTATGACATAAGAGTCTACGATAGTCTATGATCCAATTCCAAGGTATTTTGAACTTAAAGCTGCTATCGAACATCCAAGGCCTGGTAGGTGCTCTCCTCCATCCTCACAGCAAACCAAAAGTACCAATGACCGAAAAGAACAAAACTTACCACCCATGTTGGCTTTATGGACAAGTTGAACATTCCAACCTGATGGAAACCAACATCGATATCAAAAGGCAAAGAAACAAAACTGCAACTGAGGCCAGGGGCCAAGCTGGGGCAACTAGTAAGGTTAATCAACGATAAAAGTAGCTGCCCAAGCATCAGCTGCAGTTCTTTGCTGCATCTGGTCTTGCAGGCAGCTGTCAGTTTATCAAAGTCGCGGGTGTACCTGGGTGACCCAGGCGCTGTGCCGTCAGAATCTGACACACTGACAACGGCCCATTGCTGTGGATTGTTGAATTTTACATGTTCTGTGATCAAAGACTGCTGCTTGCTGCGACCAGAATCTGTTCAGATTCATCCATCTTCGTTGATCATTGGCCAGCAGTTGGGTTGCCGCAACCGAAGTAAAGAACTGAGCCGCAGACCAGTAGAGGGTGCGACGGATCTCCTGGAATTCAAAGGAACCCAAAAGCAGCAGCTGCTCAGTTGTCTCCCTGTAGAAAGGCATCGACCATGGCGGCGAAAACATGTGCCACCACGGCTGCCATGATTCTACAGATGGAGCACTCTGCAGGTAGCTGCCTCAAAACACGGACAAACCCCACGTTGGCAGCGTGAAAGTGCAGTCGCAACCAATGTTACTTCGTACCAGTACCTTTGGCACATTTGCCTTTGCCTCGCACAAAATACACATTGAGGAAATTATGGGAACATCTTCACACTAATTGGAGAGCTGCTGCAATGACTAAGCAGTGCACCGTGTACAAAACATATAAGGGCTTAAATGTGATGTACGTAAAGTGAGCCTTCCAGTTTTAACGATCTTACTTTGAACTTTCTGAATTCATCCATGGACATCCTACAGTTGGTGTGGAAGATGCCAAGCAATACCAAGCAGCCGTATTGGCTTGTCATCCATGCGGCTATTGCTGCCACACCACTTCGGCCCAAGCTGAGGTCGTTAATGCTATCCTTACCAGTGCTATTTGGCAGCGAGACATGTCAATTGTGGTAAACAGAACCCAGTAGCCCCTAGTAGCTTCTTGTTCCTAGTACAAGTAGTAAGGCCAGGAGCCCCTAGTAGCGTCCTTGCTCCTAGTAGTAAGGCCAGGAATCCATGCCGTCCTTGTGCATCACCTTTCGTCCCCACTCTCTATCCGCCGAGGTGCTACATGCGAGGGCAGCTGGCTATGCTTGCGAATGGAGACCTTGAAGGCAAGGCAGGTCTCTTGCACTGCGAGGGCTGGGGCGTGGCAGGGGCAAATTCACTTGCAGTGCTATCTTTTCACGGCGACAAAAGGAATTTATGCAGGCGGGGCGGGACTACACTTTGCCATGAAGCCAATTAGCAACAAGCCTCCTTCGGCCCTTGCAAGTAAGGACAAAGTAATGCACATTCAAGCTGCATCGCTTATCTGAAGGCTCTTTGGGATATGTAGAAGCTTTTCTCCAGCTTTCACGTGCTCAGATGTGACCAGCATCGCTCCCTTTGCAGTACCATGGACGTATTGAAGCTTGGAGGAGACCTTGGACTCTAAGTCAAAGAATGTCCACTGCGCTCTCACAGCATTGCACTGATTTTTACGAGAAAGGAACAATGAAAGCCAGTTGAAAAAAAAACAGTATGCGGGTCCTGGTTATGAACACACTGCGACCAAAGTCTGCGAGAACATTGCCCAAAGCGACCCGTAAGCATGCTTTTAGCAAACAAGCAGCGCTATAGTACACCAGCAAATCAGCAACACACCACCAGCAGCCCAGCAGCGCACCAGCAGAAACAGCGGCACACCAGCACCAGCATCAGAAATAGTATATAGTAGCCCAGGAGCAAAAATAATAGCAGCAAACCAGCAGCAGCGGAGCGAAAAGTAGCAGCAACAAGCAATGCGGTTCTGACAGCAATAGTCTTCAAACACCTTGCTGATGCAAATGATGCTATGACATATGGGAGTTGCATTTGCTGCATCACCAACTCATCAAACAGGTACCAAAGTAAAAGCAAAATCTCAAGTTTATATACAGGGTTTAGTCATTCTCGAAGCTGTCTTTTTGATGTCTGACAACTCACTTCATTCGCAGCATCTAACTTCAGCCAAGCCTATCGGCTGGCTTTCGTAACAAGCTGCTGTTTGACGCCAAGCCACTCCTGTGAAGTGGCTAAACTAAACTAAACAGCTACAAGTGCCTGCATTACTTTCTCGTGTTGGTGGATTGCAGAAAATTAATGCAACTTGGCTGCAAGTCCACCATGCTGCTCAACCCAGCTTGCAAGCTCCTGAAATCTCATCACCATGTCAGGACTGCCACGGCGGGTGGCCAAAGAGAGAAGCACTCCAAGCAATGAAAAAGAACCTGAGACTTGCCGATCTTTACAAGGGTCAGGCAATGAGCATATGACATGTTGGGGTCTGACTACTGGCTCGTCACAGGTTCCCAAGCCCTGCCCTCATTTCATGATTCGATTCTCAGAGAGCATGTTGCTGAGAAAGGAACTCTATCATCTCTATCGCACCAATTTTGCCTCTGAAAAATAGGACTTGCAGTCCCAGTTGCCATAGAGCAATAGAGAGGAAGTCCAGCTTGCGCCCTCGCTCGACTTGCCTGCCTGGAAGTACATGAAGCCAAGTCAAATCTAATTGTATGATCCTACTACTGTACTTGTATGAGCCCAGGCCCAGGCCATGTGCAAATGGTTTTCGCATGCGCATGTTCCATCCTTCTTGGTCTTTTAGCTCACCCAATCGCTTCAAAGGTAGAAATCGGTGCCCGCCAAAGAATTGAACGAAACCGATGTGGTATTTGCATGCTTCAATTGGTCAAGAACAAATGACAGAATGCCGTGAACCTGGGACCATGAAAGGCACTCCGAACATGTTGACCAAGAATCTGGAGATGCACTGGTCTTCGGGTGTTCCAATGCCGCGAGTGGGGACGATCATTAATCAACAAAATGAAAATGGTATGGAATGGTACTTGGAATGGTCCCAACCGCCCTGCCTCTGATTTTTCAGTGCCTCGTTTGTTAGGTTTGCCAGCTTTGTCCATGGCGCACCAGTGCACGACAAGTCACAAGCGAAGCCCATTCAAGACAAGATCCCAAAATCAAGGCTTTTAAGCCGACAGTTGTTGAATCTGTCCAGGTTCAAGTTTGTTTGTACAGTGGGGGAGGACTCAAACGCGATTGCTCCTACGTTTCACTTGTTGATGGCCTGTGAATGCCTGTGATATTTTGTGCATGACCAGGGTAAGCATGGTGTAACATTGGTTAAAAAGCTACCATATAGCTCCTAGTAGCACTCGGGGCTGGGGGTTCCCGTACTTGCTGGACTCAGGTCAGGTGGATCAATCGTGTGTGCATTCTGTGGCCTACTGATTAGACTCCATTGAAATCTGTCCCATCGTGTCGCATCTATGCAGTGCTCGTCTTTCGCGCTGTTTTGTGGCTTGTGTATGCTTTTGCAGCGTCTGGTCACGCAAGGCTCAGGAGCTATCATCATCGATTTGCACACACCATGCCGCCAGAAAGCCTAACCAGTCAGCCTAAAGTCAATGTTGCAGAAATTGGCCACTACTTCAAGTTCAACTAAAATATCTATTTGGATGGTTGCAACTTACCAGTCCTGTGGCTTACCGGATCGCTCCCAGTATCTTTGCGCACGTGTCTTCACGAACTTTGCCAAGCGCTTGGCAAAGTCTTGGCCTCGAAAGGCCAATGCAGTTGGTGCAGCGGCGTGGAATGTGAGATCGATTTACATCCCATTCCCATCTGCGCACGTTCAAGGCCTTCTTGTGAAAGGCTTGAAGCACGATCGCTGCCGTGTTGACCTGCCAGTTCTGCGATGCTGCTCATCACTTGTAGTGTCTTCAAGTGTTGACTGACGTTATCATGCAATGCCAAGTCAAAACTGTATAGAGTCCATGTTGCAGCAGGCTGCGCTGCGGCCAACAATACAGCAGTTCTATGACTCGGCTCTCTATCCAAGTGAGACGCTACATGCTGACTGGGGGCTTGCAAAAGAGGTTTACTTCAGTCAATCAATCACAACCATTCGCATTTATGCCAAGACTAGTGATCCTTGGCTGGTGGTTTCATTCCTTTCCACGTACAGCACCGTATAGTACAGTCTTGTCTGATTCAGCTAGTCTTGCCAGTTCAATGAGGTTTGGTGTTTCTTTGAGCTTTTGGTGTTTGGCGACGGCAACCGTAAACAACCGTAATCCTTGCTTTGGCAGGAGCTCCACACCGTCTGGCTTCCTGATTCCTAGTAGCTTCTTGTTGCTAGTAGTAAGGCCAGGAGCTACTAGTAGCGTCCTTACTCCTAGTAGCGATGCCCTTTGCTACTAGTAGATGCAAATGCAAAGACCTTGTGTTTCTGACCGTTCCAGCCTTTTGATTCTGGCGATCCAGCACCGGCTCGTGTCAACCAAATGGGTCGTGAGCCTGGGCACATGTCTTACTGAAACAGGATCACAGTTTTGATAGGCAGTGCAGGCTGGCTTCTTCCAAATTAAAACAGAAGATGGTCCGCGGTTTGTTGCACTTGGAGACAAATGCAACTGTATGGAGGCAGCTCGAACTGGCTGAATTTCAACCACACCCTGTAACTGGCTGAATTCATGCTTATTCCCAATAGCTGCCAAAATACACTACTAGTGGCTCCTGGCATCGCTACTAGGAGTAAGGACGCTACTAGGGGCTCCTGGCCTTACTACTAGGTTGGATTGTGCACTCTCTGGGCCCTGGACCAATGTGAATTGCCATCAGGAATGGCAAAATGCCTCGGTTTTGGCCCGAAGCTTCTAGCAGAACAAAGAACTGGTCTGTTAAAGAGAAGGGCAACCATGTTGTTTTCATCACTTGAGCTTCACTACTCTGAACTATGTTAGCAAATAAAGATATATCCGTGTAGACTCTAAATGAGGAGCCTAAGTCCACAGTGAGTCTAATGCCAAGGCTGCCCGGGTACTTTTGGCCACTCGCCCATAGCAATGATTTGCCATAACCTGGGCACGTGCTTGAAGACTTTGACTTCGGGACAGCTGGACTTGTGGCGCTCAAGAGTTACAAAGCAGGTTTGTGGAAGGACTTCAATGCACATGACGCACATGACTCATGACTTGGAAGTATAGGTCACACTAAGGGAAAACAACGGCGGCTATGTTGTTGAGTCGTCTTCTTAAGCTTCTGTTTTGATGTAGACCCTGGCTGCTTGCAATTCCAGTCGTGGTGGCTGGAGTTGCACAAATGTAGGCATTATCTGCCCAAGCTCGAAGATGAACGGGAAAAGCCTGAAAATTATATGTCAATTTAGTAGGACGTGACGTACACTGGAAAGGACAATACATGCAGGCCTGGTCAAGCCATCTTTATGCAACTCATATGCCATATTAGTCCAATCTTTGGCAAAGTTCTGTTTGTTGTGCAGAGATCTCCCCAATCCACTGACCAGTGTCTGCATGCAATCCTTGCACTCACCAGTGAGTATGGCCATCAATAAACATATTTCAAGGACTCTTGGCCCTGAATACGCGCAATTTCAAGCCATCTTTGGGCTTCAAGTGCACACCGCTGGAATCAACCTTCATCTCTTCGAGAGCTTCCGGCAGCTCAAACCGGAAGCGCGAGAGTAGCATTGGAAACCATACCTCATGCGAGGTTGGTGTCTTTGGCTGAAATGTATGCAATTTTGTTGCTTGCACGTGCACAGTGCGCTCTTGACAAGAGTATTCCGTGTTATGTCATGACATGTTATATTTCATATTATTAGATATGTCCTTCTCTTCCCAGTATTGGGCCACGGGCCACTTTCCGCCAACTCGCTACGAGTGCTTCCAAAGAACACAGAGTGTCCAAACATGGCATCAAATCCGATCGATTCTAATCTATTATATATCCGTCATGGCGCGAAATCCACACTTCAACATTCCTTCATGGCTTGCTTGCGCATCAACTGCTTTGACATGCTTTGACCCAACAACACGGTCTCAGCTTTTCATGGCTATATAATTTGCTTTCTTGGGCATATTCATTCGGGAGCCAACCCTGCCAAGGGTCTCTGGCTTCCAAGGAAGACATGTCTCTTCCTGGGCAACTGTGAGCTCCAAAGTTGTAGGTCATCAACTTCGAAGATTTCAGACCTGGAGCTTGTGCAATGTCTGATGATGCCATGGGAATCATGATGAGAGGCCAAAGCACACGCGTTCCTGCAGGAAAGGCCGAAACTGAGGAAAGAGTTGACACGAGCTCAAAATGTTTGTTTACTGTCCAATGTTGCCCTCTTTTTGTGCAACTTGGCGGTGAAGGTGAACGGGCTTGAAACGGACCTTACTTCGTTGCTGAAAGTGCCAGTTCCCATTGCGGCTTGTGCGACCTGTTTGGTACCAGCACCATCAGCCTTTGGTTCTACTTTATGACAGACTGTATATGCAGGTAGTCACTTGAGGTGTGATCCGGAGATCAGCCCCCAGACGGGCCAAAGGCGGGTGGCAGGTGGCAGGTGCCCCGAAGACCGAAAGCCAACTCCTGGTTTGATGAAGCTACTTTTGGAGGTCTGCGAAAAGCCCACAGTCATCAAAAACTGGATGCCAAATCCTGGACAAGGGGAACAAAAACAAGATTGTATAATTGGATGCTGGCCCGAACACGGAAAGCCAAAAACCAAATCCCAAAAAATGATCGCGAGAAAGGTGCAATGTGGACCCAGCTCAAACACCGAAAGAAGAATCCCGCTAAAAAAAACAAACCGAGAAAACCAAACACCATCCAACATCTAAACCCTAAACAAGCCAAAGCAAAGGCAAACCCAATACAAACCAAATCACAAACCCTATAATTAAACTATATATGCCATACTGTTGATGGACAAAATCCTGCACCACTTTGCGCACACTTTTCTTGCTGCCCTCGTTCTCCCTCGTTAACATTGTGGCCACCACAGTGAGAAAACAAAAACAAGTTGAAGGTTCAAAATCCTGCACCACCTCCTCAGAGGGGTCGCGCCAACATTGAATGAGGGGCACGGGGGTTGCTATGCGACCCTTCCAGGGTAAAGTGGTGAGGTGGTGCAGGATTTTGTCCATCAACAGTATGTCCCTAAGGTGGAAGATCGAACACCAAAAGGGGGTGACTACCTCGAAGACAAAAAACGAGAGCCAAACGTCGAAAACATGTTCCAGTATGTACACACAAACCACCCCTTAAAAATCCTCAAAAAAATGATCAAAAACCGAGTACCCATTCCATGAGATTTCGCTTGTTCCTAGGAACCGCATGCGTCCGTCAAGCCGACAGGCACAAACAGTGACGAACACAGAAAACCGAAGGATGGAAGCCCGAAACCAAGCCGAAAACCAAATCCCAAAATTGGATTCGCGAAGCGCACATCAAGCACAAAGGTCGGCAAAAAACATCAACAAACCACATTCACCAAAGATAAACACATGCGCAGAACAAAACTAAACGAAAAGGGGGGCCCCCATGGCTGATGCCCTGGGGTACCCCTACCCTGTAGACCTTCCCCTATAAAATACCTGCACATACATGGCAAATGCAATCCAAGGGTGGTCCAGGGGCTGAGTTAATATAATATATATATATATGTTTAATTATATAAATACAGCGACAAATTTATCAAGGAAGCCGGAAAGCTGGAGGAAGGCTCCAAGTTACTTCTAGTATGGTAGCAGTCAATTGTTGTTGAGACGGACCCATCTAGGCTTCTTGCTGAACATGTTTCCCAAAAAAACAATCCACAACAATTGATCCACCATCTCACCCCACACTGTGGATTATTATGCCAAAGCTCTCCCCATGCCCCCCCAAAGGCCAAATCCCGAATCCGATTCTGACGGAAGATCTCCGGATCATTACGCAATATTGGAGCACATTCTTATGCGCAAAAGGTCGCTAAAGGTCGAAACAAAAGGAGGTCGGATTGGCTTCCACATGTCTCAGTTCAGCAAATTATTCAAACCGTTCAATCGCAATCTATTGCTTCAGGGTGCCACGGATCCTATCCTTTTGTTCTGAAATAGCAAAGCTGCAACACATTAGCGTGAAGCGTCCTCATCTTCCAACGTTTCTGACAATCTCACACTTGTGCTCGATCGGTGACGGAGAAAAGGCATCATTTTTGGCAAAAGGTAACGACTGTGTATGAGCCTTGCCGAATCTTGCCCCACCCCTGAACACCTGGTAGATTGCCTAAACATCACCCTCTTGGACGCAAACAAGCAGCCTGTCAAAAACGCAAAATGATAATATAGGAGATTATAGGAACCCCTATCGTATAGCGGAACCTATGCAGAAATGCGGACTTCGAGCATAATGTACCAACACACTGACACATCTATGCCATGCCACCCACCTCCCTTATCAATGTTTCCTGTAGTTCAAGCTTTCCTGCGAAACTAATTGAAGGCCATTGCCCGAAACCTGCTGTACAACCTGCAATGTCAGGCTGCCCAAATCATTCAATGCATGCAAGTTAAATATACACATACCATCACATACCCTGAAGTTAAATATTTCATACCTGTGAAGGAGTGAAGGGATGAAAGCCAGCCCCCTGCCCGGTCGGTGTGCGGTCTAACTGAAGAGTTGTGTTTATGGTTTCTGGTGAGAGCCAGGGAGTTGATGATGCAAAAAATGCAAGTCTAACTTATTCAAGGCAGTTTTAAGGGTTTACTTGGCCCCACGAGACAAGGTATGACACACATGTGGGCCTGGGACACATTTTGTTCATTTCTGTTCCAATGCTTGATGATAAATGAAACCAGCGGTGCCTTGCCAACGTTCTGGATTGAAACGCAATGGGCAGTCTCCAAAGTCCGAGGATCGCTGCCCAGCCAGGACCTGGTGCAACCCTGTCGAAACCTAGCGTCCTTGTTCCTAGTAGCGATGCCAGGAGCCCCTAGTAGCGTCCTTGTTCCTAGTAGCAAGGCCAGGAGCCCCTAGATGTTTTAAACATGCAGATTGCTCTAAACTCTAAACTCTCCAAGTCCCATGATCCAGGCTTTAGCCATTTCAAGAAGACCCCAGCAAAATCAAATGCAAAGGAATCAAAGACTTAGAAACAAACGGCATTCTTGTCTACATCTCAGTCCTGGATAGCAACAACTGTCAGAGAATTGAACCAACCATCCGAAAGAGTTCGATGAGCAAAATGAAAGCACATGCACTCGCAACTATCAACTAGGAGTGGTAGCAAAAGAATGCAAAACGGGATTGTTTCCGAAAATCAAGTCAAGGACTGATGTAAGCAACACTGCTCTTGAACAAAAACTAGGCCATTAGTGCGTACTTGAAAATGCAATTGAGACATTCCACCGGCTACTCTTTCTGCAAAGGTTCTCACTCGTTTCACTTTGTTTGGCAATGCACGGGCGCCTGAAAATGTAAGGTGGTCTCTTTGCTAATGCTGTAACTCCTGAAGCAGGTCTTATTTGGCACTCTCCCAATTGGGCAACTGGGAAACATGAGCAACTGTCTTCACAAAACCTTTTATATACTGGCCTCTTTCCAAGTTCAGCTGCGTTTCTCGGAACCAAAATCTTCAAGCGTATCATACAGTACGATGGATCCAGTCCACGAAGGAACTATGATCAAAACAAAACTGATTGATCGTCCTTGTTGATCGGGTCAAACCTAGCTATCTAGCGGACAATATCTCAACATGGCGCAACAATTTTTAATCTTCAACTATTGCCCTGGCAATTTCTTTTGCGTTTTGCATTCGGTTCTACTCTACAGTAACTCATCCTGCAGCAATCGTCCTAACACCACCAAATGGTCCCTCTGTCTCTGTCCCTCTGTCCCTGTGCCTGCCATCCATGGGCACTTCGAAGTCGTCATAAGCAACTCCGGTCAATGCAGGAGTTGGGGGCAATAAGCGCAAGGCCTGGACGGCAGTACAGGCAGCGATTGACAACGACTTGTGGCGACTATCCGCGTGCTGGTTGCATTGCTGCTATGGGGGTTATTATATGCAAAATAAGTTCTTTGT